CTTCTTGTTCTTTTTAGAGACGTTGGGCTTCATGAAAGATTCCCGTTTAAGTAAAGCTGAACAATCTGGCTCCAGAACTTTCAATGTGTCTGCTGGAGCATCTCCTTTTTTCACCCAGAACAGGTGAAATGGCTTCTGGTATCCTGACAGAGGCAGAATGAATCTAGATACTAGATTACGTGACCTTCCCATGTAAATTTTTCTTCCCATGGCTTTCGTCTTCTCTCTCCTTCCCCTGCGCCTGCTTCAGGAATTCTGAACCAAGGACAATCCAATCTGTAAAATCCTATTTCCCTTACATTTCTACCCAGCGCTTACTATTGGCATACAGTGTGTTGTGCTACCTCCCTAGATTGTGAAATAGAATTTTTTATGTTTACCCTTACAGCAGTAGAGGTGTCTGAAGAATAAATGGGCTCCTTTTTAAAACAGAACCGTCATGCTTTCATTTCAGAGATTACAATGGGACCTGAAGAGAAGGCTGCTGGTCCTTCAGAAGCTAACAAAGATATCAGCCAATTCTCTGAAGCATCTAATCCTGCAGAAAATATGTCAGCACCTCCCTGCCCCTCGTCTGAACACCAGGGGTGCAGAGAAGCCATGGACAGTCCAGCCCGAAAGCAGCATAAGAACCGAGTGAAATTGGCAGCCAATTTTTCATTTGCACCTGTAACCAAGCTTTAAATCTTGTCATGGTGTGAAAGGCATCGTATTGTTAGACTGCACAGAAAATAAAAGTCAGCTTTTTTTTTTTTATTATTTTTAATCACAATCTGGAGGGGGGTGGCCACAAACATGTTTTCTTTGTCACTTTGACTACCTTCTGTGCGAATTTTGCGCAATTTCAACTGAAGTTAAGCTGGGCAGGTTTTTTATTTGAACTTCAAACATTTGTTAAGCGTGATCTAACATTTTACCCTTTTTTATTCCGTCCCATGTCGACAAAAGCAGATGCGATAATCCTTGACGAATGGATTTTAAGTTTCTGATGCCTAAAGGTGATGTAATACTATACATAATACATAAATCTCTAGGCTGTTTCTAATTTGCAAATTTGTTATCAGAAAATAACAATGCAGTGCATAATTTGTCATGCAAAATGGCCTATCGAGAGCGTTTTAAAACTGTCACTTTGATTGAAATATGTGGTGGGGTCTTTAACAGTAGCTTTGTAAGGGCAAAACTTGGGATTTTTTTTTTTTTCCGATGACTTGTAATTAACTATTGCCAAAAAAAAAAAAAAACGATGGTTGGAGAGTTGGTTGGTTTGGTACAAAACCCCTTTTAAACGCCTTCTGTAATAATTCAGTTCCGTCGAGGAAACTTGTAGGAAGTGGTGAAGGTTTTAAGCTTCCCTTTTATAAGTGCTGCCAAGTGGATGCTGATTTGAGATGAAGGAAACAGAGAAAAACATCTCGGTGCCATGCATCTTGAAGGCACCTTTGAGATGACTCGTGCTGCACCTTCTCACTCGAGGTTGCCAGGAGCCATTGATATTCCAAAAATAAATATGCATCGACATGCATAAATCATGAACCGCACAAGGTGACAGGAGCTTTTTAAGACAGAAGGCTGTGATGCTTCCGCACGTGCAGAAATGGGAGCAGTATGTAGAAATGCCAAGGTTACGTGCCTAACCTTGTTTGCAAACTTTTTAAATGTGTAATAAATGGGAAGCTTAATTTGAATCGATGCGTTTTTTAACTGTGTCTGGTTTTTATTCCTCCTAGTGCTGAAAGCTACTCTTCCATGTTGTCATTTTTTTCTTCCAGTTCGTATTAGGGGTATTTTTTGGCCGTTGTTGGCTTTTAGAAAAGCCAGCCTTACGGAAGGGGATGAGCCAGTGGGATCCTTTTGCCTTCTTTTTAGAGAGCGACCTTAAAAACGTCTTCCGAAGGTTTATACCCCTACTGGGTAAACTTGGCACTTACAATGGGTTGTATTTGCCAGGAAAGAATTTTTACTGCTTGTCAAAAGGAAAAGAACCTATTCCGAGGTTTCCACTGGCTGAACACAGAAATATATATATATTTTGTAACAATTATATTTTATAATGTACAAGGTTGGAAAAGCAGGCTTGAGTTTCACAGCCAGCAACTGAAGGAAAAAAAGAAATACCACCAGATGGCTACAGGTGACTTTTTTTTTTTTTTAAACAAAAATGGATTTTGTTTAAAAGAGGATTTTTAAACAAAGCCATATATTGAACCTTA